AAATAGCTTTCTTGGAAAAAAATTTTTTAGCAGCCCTATCCAAAACTTTCCACTAGAGATTGAAATAACTTTTGCATGAAGAATGAAAACTTTATATTAAATAAATTCACTATCTTAATAAATGCAAATTTATACATGAATTAGAAAACATTCTACTCAAAACTTTCTACGAAAATCATAAACTTATTACCCTGAAACTTTCTACATGAAAACGTTGAAATAACATCACTATCTAACTAATATAAATTTATATGTGAATTATAGAACTTTCGTACTCAAAACTTCTATGGGAATAAGAAACTTACTACTCTGAAATTTCCACAGGAACTTTATGTTGAAATAACATCACTATCTAAGTAATTACTCCAAAACTTTCTACATGATTAAAAAACTTTATGATTAGAAACTTTACACAAACGTTACGTACAAACTTTCTTCTGATACAACAAAAACAAAAGTTTCTACTAGGAACCACACCTATACTTTCTATACTTTAGAAAAACTCCTCTTTCCAATTTTGAAAAAGAAAACTTTCTATTATAAAATTTGGAAGACATGCTCATTGTTGCTCCTTGGGGAAATATCTTGACCATTTTTATGGAACTTCAAAAAAAAACATTGCTTCTCTGTGCAACAATAAATAAGAGACCAAATAAATTATTTATTTCTTAAAAAAATAAGTAATTATTTATTACTTATAGAAAAATAAGTAAGAGGAAAGATTCACAAGAGCAAGAAACACCAAGATGGCTGATGAGCGAACGATTGCCCAAAGCGAACACCCCTGTTGCCCTACGTCAGAGGGACGTCCTACCACGTTGCTTTGTTCGATCGGCATCGGACAGGAGCGATCGAACACAGGGACGAACAAGCTAGCTGTCGCAGCCCACGCAAGAAAAATCGGCCCACGAAGAGGCTCGACCGCTGTCTCCACTCTGACACATCCGGAGCGCCCGCCGGCGAGGATGGACATGCTAGAGCGGCGCCTACCGCCGGCAAAAATCAGCCCGGTCGATTCCATTCGGGAACATACGTCTAAAAGAAGCGTGTGAATACTCTCGTTCTTGCTTTTGCTGCAGAAGCCACGAGCTTGCCGTTAAACAAAAATCATTCATGACCAAACTAATTAAAAAGGAACACTAGCATTGTCAACTGGTTATGGATGCTTTTCACCGTCGATTTGCTCATTAACACAGTAATACCCTAAAAAAGAGATGCACAGATACATATACGAGTCCTTTCCTTGCTTGGAACTGGAGATGACAACATTGCCGCCGCCGACGGCGCCGGCGGCGGGAGTGCCACGGAGGGAGCGCCTTCGTGAGCCTTGCCATGGAGCACACCTGCATCTCCAGCGCCGCAATATAATCCGAGGCCTCCGCCAGCAGCGTCGAGAACACAAGCTTTCAGAAACTTCGCCTTGGTCACCACCACGAGAAAATTGACATTGTGCCATTCTCAAAAGTGGGTTTCGTCCAAATACCACGCTGGGAGTGGGCTTTATTAAAATGTCACTTTCAATCGAAGACTACACGCTATAATGCCCGAACAGACAAAAATACCCCTGTTACTACCTTCTTCCACCTCTGACAAGGGATGCCTCGCCGGCTCGCCTCTGCCACGCCCACCTCATCCGCCTCCACCTCCGCTCCCCTTCCTCCCCGACAACCCCCGCCTCGTCCGCCTCCACCTCCGCACCCCTTCCTCCCCACCTCGACCGACCCCAACCGACGACCCCGTGGTCACACTCCACGCCATCTGCGCCACCAACGCCGACGTCGGCGGTCTCCGTCTTTCGTGCCAACCCGCCGTCCTAGCCACTCCCGTTCTTCCAGGCGGCGGAGGCGCACCCGCACGGCGGAGTCGTTGGTGGGCATGGCCATGGCGAAGGCGCGGCGCAGTGGTCATCGGAGGTGCAGGCGACGGCGGCGGTGGCCGGGACGGGTGCGGGGGCTCGCGGAGGGCGGGGCTGGGATGGGGGCGGATGGGAGGGGGCACGGGGAGGGGAGCCATGGGAGGGGTCCCCGCAGGGGCCTGTGGCCTGTGGTTCTCCATGGAGGAGAGCTCGCGCGAAGGCAGATGGTGGCCGCCGGCGAGAGCTGATGGTGATGGAGGGAGGAAGAAGATGAGAGGAGGGTAATTTGGTCCGAGATAGTATTTTAACGTGTAACCATGTGTTGAAAGTGGCATTTTAACGAAGCCCACTCCTAGCATGGCATTTGAGCGAAACCCACTTTTTAAGGATGGCACAATGTCAATTTTCTCGGTCACGACACATGCGGCCGTGCGCGCGAGCTCTGCCGGGGAGCGCAGGGAAGATCCGGACAAAGCCAAGGCCACTTCAACCCGGGACTCCTGCGACCTCCTGACACCGGAGCTTGACTGGCAGCGCTTGCCTTCTCTTCCCCTTCCAACGGAGCTCCGGCTGTGTCGAGAGTGGAGACGGGCGGACGGCAGTCAAGCCTCTTCGTGGGCCGATTTTTCTTGCGTGGGCCGCGACAGCTTAGCTTGTTCGTCCCTGTGTTCGATCGCTCCCGTCCGATGCCGATTGAACGAATCAGCGTGGTCAGACGTCCCTCTAACGTAGAAGGACATGACTACACAGCTAGTGCAGCTACCACTCCATATATGATATAGCTACCACTCCATATATGATAGATACTATCCACCTATACTTCAAATACAATTTTCTCTAAAACTGCTCATCCGATATACGATCCGATTACACCGTTGTGTTCGTAACAGTTAAATCTTTATAACAAGATCTCACATGATTATATTTTGATAAAAAAATATAAATTACTTTTATAATATATCTAAATTACTTTTAGATTTCACTAAGTTACTTCTTAGACATATAAAAGTAATTCAATAAAACCTAAAAGTAATTTGCATATACTATAGAAGTAATTTATAACAAAAAGAAAGTAACTTCTATAATATATGTTAATTACTTTAAAACTTTATTGAATTTACTTTTATATGTTTAAGAAGTAACTTAGTGAAATATAAAAGTAATTTAGATATATTATAAAAGTAATTTGTGATTTTTTATCAAAATATAATCATGTGAGATCTTGTTGTAAAGATTTAATTGTTACGAACACAACGGTGTAATCGGATCGTAGATCAGATGAGTAGTTTAAGAGAAAATTATATTTGAAGTATAGATGGTAGGAATATTTTTTCTACTTGATCAATTAGTACTATAGTAAAGAACGATTCTTCAAGACACATATCTGGACAATGGCTGATCGTATCTGGACAATGGCTAGCGTCGCTTGTTATGTCTAAATCAAGAGCACTCTCGATTTAGATTTTGCGGACGTAGAAGCCATTACGTCTATCAGAACGGATCCGATTCCATTCTGACTGGGACACAGATTCAGATTCAAATGTTTATATATAGAATGTTTTTTTACATCAGTATAAAGTTTATAAGTGTATAGTTTATATGTATAAAGTTTGCGTTTAAAATATATTTGTGAATGGTAAGTTCTAAAATTATGTAGATGGACTTATGTGAATTGAAAGACCAAAATCGAACTAAAAAATAGTTTCCAATTAGAGACTTTTTTCCATAAAGTTTGATAAATACTTGTATAAATCTGGTGTACATGTGGTCTGGCCGTTCGCTGCGCGTGCGCGGTCATGCGTCAGACCTTCCCATAGAAATGAAATGGCATTCAACAAACAAAGAAAAAAGATACGCATATGGTAGTAACATGAAATTGCTAATGCAACATTTCTGATCAAAACCAATTATTAAGCAAAACCTAAAACACAAACTTCGGATGCATAATTTTGTAGCAAGAGCAGGAGGGGCACATCAAGTCAATGTAGAAAGTTTCTACAGCATTACCATGTACTTCAGGGTAATCCTGCTTGGTTAGAGTGGTGTATGGTATGTAAGCACTTTTTCAGGAAATATTCAATATATCTTATCATCTATTTTTAGTTGCATTGTACTGATAGTAGTAGTGACGTTCTATAATAGTTATCATGTCAGTAAGTGATCCAGCTTTGAAACTTACGGATGAATTAACTTATCCACAATCATTTATTTTCCAAGCATTCTATCAGCACCTACCCCAATCAGAACCTATTTCAAGCAGTATCATGTCATAAACAAATGAAATGAACTGACAAAAAAAGGCATGGAATGAATTTAGTTACAGCTAACCTCTGTTTATTGACGTGATGTCAACAAATATATGTGTGCTCCTAAGAACAGAACGGGGGACAACTAAAAGCACTCATAAATTTGAAAAATACACAGTTAACTGTAAGGTTCACCAAATCGCTGGGTTCATCAAGCTTGCTGCGGGATAAAGCTCGATGTGGCAGGAAATACATGCGACCAAGATGACGAATCAAACAAAAATCACAACCGAATGCGCAACTAATGTAATAATCCAGGAGAGGAAAACCAAATCATGGTAGCAAGTTCACCGTAGGAGGGAGCTAGACGTTGAGGAAAATACCGGCGACAAAGGAACACGATGATGAGCCGTTGCCGCAAAACCCCTAGACCTGTCCGTCTAACTTCACCATCCTCGCCTTCCGCCTTCACGTCTCCGAGAGGATGGTCAACGACGGCGATGGAGGGTCGTCGACGCTCCCGAAGACCTCACCATCTATCCCCCCTCCGCTGGAGTGATAGGAAGAGAGGGCAACGAGAAAGGGAGAAGGGGAATAAGGGGAATCGGACCTGTTAACCACTAGAGGAAAGAACAGATTGCGAAAGAGCGCGACGCGAGCGTTCGGTAGTTGGAGATTTCGGCTTCGGAATCGGGCGGCTACTGGACTCCCTCTTTGGCTGCTGCTTCAATTCCGCGGCCGTATTATAACTGCTGCACCGGATCCTCTGGCCGGCAGAAACCTCCCATAAATCCGTCCTCCGATCCGTTCCGCCGGTGATAATTTGTCTAGTCGACTCAAGCTAGCCATAAAATTCTTCATCTTCCGAGAGTAATTCCACCGACCAATTCAAGTCTGAGATTGATTAATTGGTGTGCGAGCGAGATGGCGGCGGCGGCGGCGATAGCGCAGTGGCTGTCTGATATGGCCGGGTTGGTGATGAGGTGCTGTAACCCTATCCCTAGCTACACCAACGAGGACGGCCCCAAAAACCCGGAAGCTCTTACCACCCAAACCATATGTAAGCATCCACGTTAATTTTTATTTTTTTAATTAGATCTTGTCCCATCGAGGTGCGTTTATACTTAGGCCCTATTTGATTCAGCTTAGGATCCTTATAATCTGGATTATTAGGAATAAGCTAAAATAAACAGATAGCTTATTAGGGCGTTTACAACACACCGAGGTGGCGTTCAGCCTCGCACCCAAGAACCGAATATTCGGTGCCACATCGGCAATTCGCGTGGAATCCTCAAGAACGTGGAGCAAGTTTTGGCTACGAGTTCCTCGTCTTAGCCGGTAGGACCCACACGTGCCAGAGGAGAAAGGGAGAGAAGAGCGAGGAGGGGAGGGCGGGGCCGACCAGGAGAAAGGAGCGGCGGCTCCGGCCGCGCCGCCCCCCGATCGGCGCCGGCCAGGGCTCGCCAGCTGCGCCACCCCTCGATCTGCGCCGGCTGGGGCTCGCCGACGCGCCGCCGCTCCGCCCGGCTCCACGCGAGGACGACCGCGCCGCCGCTCTGGCGCTCCGCTCGGCTCCGTGCGAGGACGAGCTCACCGCCGCCCCGGCGCTCCGCTCGCTCGCTGCTTGGGCCGCCCAGCCGTCGCTCCGGTCGCCGCCTTGCTGATTCCGTCGGTGGGGAGGAGTTCATGGTTCAGTGACTTTCTTTGGTGGGAACGAAGACTAGAGGACAGAGAGAGGGTAGATGAAAAGTAAAAGGGAATAAAGATTGGTGGGCCCCACTTAAAAAAAATGCACTGTGGAGTATTGTTCTTGGGCGTTCTCCTGCATAGGTGGCATGCGAGGCTCCTCAAATTTTGACGACGCTGCATAGGTGGCATGCGAGGCTCCTCAAATTTTGACGACGCACTGCTACTGCCCTTACGATAGAATATTATAATCTATAAGTCAGATTACTATAATCAGTAATCCACTTTAAAGGTGCTTTTTTAGATTATTGGGTAGCTAACAACTAACAAACAGCTTATAATCTAGGAAAACAAACAGCTCGCAGCTTATTATATGTCGGCTTATTATAATTCAGTTTATAGGATTCTAGTTCAATAATCTAGATTATAATAATTTTAAACTGAAACAAACAGGGCCTTATTAAATAAGTAGATTAGATACAAACATGTTGTACTAGATTACTAGAATTATTGTTTTTTCTTTTCTTCTTTCTTTTTAGTTACCGTCAACGAGATTGAAGCCTTATATGAGCTTTTCAAAAGGATTGATGGTGCCATCATCGAATATGGCAAGATCAACAAGGTACGCGCGCGTGTGTATCATGTTTAACTAGATTACAAATGCATGTTGATTAGTAGAATTATTAATTATTTGGTTTACACATATCTTGAAGCATGCATGCATATGCATTTGTTCGCCCTCGATGGTACACATCAAACGGAAATTAAATACACATGAATGAATAATGTCTATGTCTACTCGCTGCATGCGATGGCTCACTAATCTCAATCGATTACGAAGCCTCGGCCGTTCAATGATTATTTCTTAATGTTACCAATGAATAGTTAGTATTTGATTTCTTGCCAAACCAATTAGAGAAAATTCCTTATATGCCACTCAAAATTACTCATTTCCCTTATATATTATTGAAAATGCTACGTTTCCTTTTATGCCACTGAGTTTTAGTTTTCATCCCTTTGATGCCACCACCGTCAAGTCAGTTGACCCTAGCTCCCGTTAAGTGAGTTAACATGTTAGATTTTTCTTCCTATACCTGTATTACCCTCACTCTTCAATCCATGCTATCACTAATTAATGATCTGAAATGTGCCTAGCACTCTCTTCATCCTTGGTCACCCAGCGAATCAAGATGATTAGTTAAATGACTGCAAGCTAAAATCAAGAATAATTAAATGTGTGCCGATAGTTAATTCATGTTCTAGTATATATGTGCCCTTGATGCAAATTAAATGTGTGCCAATGGTTACATCAAATGACTGCAAGCTTGCAATCAAGGATAATTAAATGTGTGCCTACGGTTAATTACGGAAGCTTGTTTAGCAGAGCTTGTGGAGGTGGTTCACCGATATTAGCAACTTCTCTGGTATGCATGGAGAGGAGCAAACGCGATGTCACACAGTAGTGGAAGTGTGGGACTACAGGAGCTAGCTCAGTTAGTCAGTGTCTCGGTGATGGAATATGCACAATGGTGAAAAAAACATAAACGAGAGGGAGAGGAACCTGAGAAAAAAAAACAGAGGGAACAAGGGCACTAGTGTCTTTTCATGGCCTACTTAACACCAACTTAACAGTAGTCTAATGGTAGTGGCACTAAAGGGATAAAAATTGAAACCCAACGGCATAGAAGGAAATGTAACTTTTTCAGTAGGATATAAGGAAGCTAGGTAATTTTGACTGACATATAAGAGATTCTCTGTCACGCCCGGAAATTCACTAGTAATTTCCGAACTTATTTGTGCATGAAATCCTCGTCTAGGAATCAGCCGAGGTACACAAATTGACAATTTAATATACAGATTTATCAAATTAACTAAAACGATAAATACTTACTTAAGAGGCACTTAGTCCTCACCACGAAGAAAAACTGCAGCGGAAAATAAAATCTAGCGAAGCTCCGGCTCCACTCCCACAGGCAGCTCAACTGGGGTATAAGCCAAACGTCTTCTCCTTCTGGATTCTTTTTCTTCAACTGAGGTTGATTGATTATTGCAAGGTGAGCATATGACATACTCAGCAAGCCACACAGCAAATATGCAAGTGCACAAGGATACCAAAGGATGGCATAATATAGGCTCATTTGCAAAAGCAGCATTTAGCAAAACATTTAAGAGAAGTAAAACAGTGGAGTAATTAATCAGAAATTTTAATCAACACTGAACAGCACACCCATGCTGCACAGGCCCAACCATCCTGAACAACCATACACGGCTGTACAGATCTAACTCCAAACCAGGAGCTAAGCAAATTATTACCAGGTATAACATCCATAATTATTGTGAGAGGTGTGAGACTAATCACGAAAAACATTGCTCAACCCGCCCATAACCGCGGGCACGGCTATTCGAATAGTTTTACTCTGGCCAGAGGTGTACCACTGTACCCACAAGACACAGCCCCACACCATGTCACCATGTGCCTCAGTACCACCACGGTACCTCGGTAAGGAGCTGTGACATTACCCCTCGCACAACACAATCCACCACAGTGCACCATTCCTGGATCATAATCACCCCCTCAAAAACCAGAGGCATGGACTCCCCAGCGACCCCCGTGGGCTTATCTCCGCCACTTCTCAGTCTGGTGCTCCGCAATGAACTATGTTATACAAAAGGTAAAGCCGTTGCCCATGCTGGCTTGTGGTTGGCACGGTTAATGTTTCACAACAGTAGCTCGCGAACCGGTCCTTAATTGCCATGAGCACGACTCTCAAAACCATGTGCTCACAACCCACCTTTATCATATTTTAGTTGGCAAGTAATTATTTAACCAATCACGATTGACCATCGTGAACTATCATTAAGCCACCATTAAATAATAGTGAGTCATAAGTTATCCCAATAGTGTGCTAATGTTTCTAAGCATGGCTAAGCAATTATATCTAATATTTAGCTGAACCAATATATAAAGCTCAACTAGTCAAGTTATAATAACCCAAGGTATCAAGGAATAAAGTAATCAATGCAAATTGGCCATAACAAAGGAATAAGTTCACACCACCCGGTGACATTCTAAAATAAATGCACAGTTGAAATAAATAGAGAATTTTAAATATAGGATCAACATGCTCAAAGGATTGTGTTTAGGATCTGTGTGACTTGCCTTGCAATAATCGGTCTTCAATTAATCTTCTTGAATACTTCCGGCGCACTCGCGAACCTTCGCAACGACGAAAACGACAAGCTAACACGTAAAACGAAGAAAAACACTAATGAAAACCAAATAAACAGTACATAAAAAGTAAACAGTACATGAATTATGAGACTTGAACGGCCTCATTCTGACTTCGTATGAATTTATTATGAATTTTACAAGATTAAATCTAATTAAAGCCCATTTAAAAAGAATTAAATAAATTTAATTCAATTTATGGACAATTTTATTATGTAGATCTTTATTTTATACAATTTTTGCAACTTGAACCACATTAAACTGAGTTACAAAGAATTAGTTATGAATTTTTAAAGATTAAATCGGATTAACACACTTATATAGATTTTAATTGAATTATGACGTAATAATGAATTATTTTTGAAAAGGAAAAGAGAATTATTGCGTCAGCGGGTCGGGTTTACGGTGGACCCGGTGCACGGCAGCGGTTCACGGGAACGGACGGCCGAGATCGATCCTATCCACAACGAACGGCCGAGATCGATCGGATCCACCGCGGCTCACGGACGGACGACGACGATGACGTCAGCGGTGACGTCACCACCGGCGGCGGCTCGGAAGCGCAAGCTCGCCGGCGAACGACGGCGCGACGACGCAAACGGAGGACACCAACGGGTAGAGGGCGACGCGGCGAACTCACCGGTGACCAAAGAAGCGGCGGAGGAGCAACGGATGGCGCCGGCGACGAGGAAGAAGCGGCGGCGAAGATCGGGTCGACGGCAGCGACGGTGCTCCAGCGGTCTTCGGCGACGGCGAAGGGGTGGACGGGGACGGCGGCGACTTGGCGACCACGATGACGACCTCCCCGAGCGACGACGACGACCGGAACGGCGGCGGCGCACGGCTGGAGCGGCGGCGACGACGGCGGCGCTAGGTCACACGGCGCTAGGGCGCTTCCGACGGCGAGAGACGAAGACGAGGGAGGCGGCGGGTAGAGGAGAGCTCGGGGGTCCTTTTAAAGGGGTTGGAAGGCGGCGGCAAAGGCCCACGGCGACCGGCGGCGGGATGGAAAGCTCGGGGTTCGGAGGAAAGAAACCGATCCGATTCGACCTCGAATTCACGAACTTCCAAAGCGATTGAGACGATGATTCCAAAAGAGAAAAGGAAGAGGAGATCGAGAAGATCATTTCCCCTCTAAAGATTTCACCGGATCAGGAAAGGATCGATCGGATTTGGAAGGAGACGGCGGCGGCTCGGACGCGGCTCGGCTAGGGTTTCGGGCGGCGGCGGCGGCGCGAGGAAGACGAACCTGACAGGTGGGGCCCACCTGTCAGCGACAGCGAGAGAGAGAGGAGAGCGGCGGCTCGGACTGGGCCGACTGGGCCGGGGAGAGAGAGAGGGTTTTTGGGCCGACTTTCGGCCCAAAGCCAAAAGAAGACTTTTAAAAACCTTTTTCAATTTAAATTATTCATGAAATGCAATTCCATTTATTAAAAATACTTCCTTAGCTCAAATAAATCCCAGAAAAATCTAGGAATTATAGAATTAAGCAAAGTATTTAACAAAATTTTATCTAGCCCAATTTTATATTGAGATTTAGCAAATTAAAATTAGATCTTCTCTTTTAAGCTTTTAAGATCATTTCTAATAATTCCTTTTAAACAACAATTTATAGTTTAAGGATTTTTAAACAAGAAAAGCTCTTAACAAATATAATTAGATCATTATTGATCAAATAATTACTGAACTATTCTTTGTATCATTTAGGAATTGAGCTCTGAAAAATCCGAGAAAATCTCAGAGAGTTGACTTAATCATGGAGAATTTAATAAAAATTAAATCCATCCGTGCTTTATATTTAGAAAATTTTATTTCCCACATTTAACTTCACTTGTAAATTAAAGAACATTTAAGATAAATTTTATTATTAATTTATTAAATAATTTATAAATCCTGAAACGAAAATCAGGATGTGACAGATCTACCCCCCTTATAAAGAATCTCGTCCCGAGATTCGGAACGGCTAGAAAGAAAAGGGCATAGGTAAACTGCAGTCTATCTTATTCCATAACTCCGATAATTATTCTAAGGCTTTAAAGAAAACTACTGCCGCTTTGAAACTGGTGGCTGAGCTGTAACACTTGAAGACGCAACTCTTGAAGACGCAACTGGCACTGCATTTGCTCCTGTGACGACAACGTTGTTGACTTGACCTTGCGACTGCGGATGCTTCGGCTTCGGACACTCTCTTGCAAAGTGGCCTGGCTTGTAACAGTTGAAACATACCTGCTGCTCCCTTCCACTACTGTTATTCTCCTGAGACTGATCCTGCTGAACTGGCACCGACTGATTAGCTTGCTCGATGTTAACTTCATTGCTTTCATTAGTCTCTGATTTGATCTCACCACCGATGTTCAACTGTTGCGATTGTCCTTGACCAGCGGAAGAAGATTCACCAATTTGGAGTGGCTTGATACGCTGCCTCTGGCTACTACCTTGTGCCTCCTGGAATACAATCATTTTCCTTTTACGGTTATCCATCCTGTTCTTCTTGTCTTCAAGTCGAATTGCTTTGTCAACTAGCTGCTGAAAATCAACATAGTCATGAGAGATCAACGTAACTGACAGTTCATCCTTCAGACCTTCCAAGAACTTCTCCTGCCTTTCCTCGTCAGTACGCACATCTTCTGGAGCATAACGTGCCAGACGATTGAACTCATGAAGATACTCTGCCACGGTACGATCCTTTTGCTTCAAAGCCCTAAACTCACGCTTCTTTAAAGCAACAACTCCTACAGGTATGTGTGTCTTCTTGAATCCTTCGGTAAACTCTTCCCAAGTGATTGGTTGTCCTTCTGCTCTGTTCATCCGGAAATGATCCCACCATTCTGAAGCAGGTCCTTGCAACTGATGTGAAGCGAACATGACTTTCTCCTGATCTGTACACTGGAGCAATTCCAACTTCTTCTCAACAGCGTGCAGCCAATCACCTGCTTCCACTGGGTTGGTAGTGCTAGAAAAGGTAGGTGGCCTCACACGAAGAAAATCAGTTAACTTGTTCTGCGGCGGTGGAGCATTGTTGTTCCCTTGGTTGAGCTGGTTCTGCATCTGCTGTATCATCATGTTCATTAACTGAATCTGTTGAGCCAGAACTTGAGCAAGAGTTGGGTTCCCTTCATTGTTATCGTTTCCACTTCCACTGGCACGAGTGTTCACCATCTGTTGCTTATTAGAGAAGATGGGAGGAGAGGGGTTACACTAAAGACAAGACCTTAACCAGGTTAACACTGATCTGATGTGTGTAGACCATTATATTGTTCAAGTTGATTAAGCAAGCAACCTAGTATAGTTACACGCTCATCAATGAACTACTCCAATGATGGGAATGCAACCATACCTACACACAAGCAAGCAACAAACGTTCTATCCTACTAACTATTCCTCAAAGACACTTTGGCGGCATAGGTTCTAAGGTAGGATCCAAACTTCATTCCATCTTGACCACTTGGCACTTCGGTCCTTCCTTGATCCACTTGACTGATCTCCATAAGTAGACCTCATTAGCGTCTTCAAGTTTCAATGTCTTAGAACTACTCAAGTTGAAAGCAGGAGGGGAGAGGATGATAAAATGATTTATAGAGAATTCTAGAGAAGGAAGAAAGGAAAATTTTCACAAATCATGTTTTCGGAAAATTTGTCCTTAAGGTTTGACCATTTGGCTTATCCTACAGTCGAGATGGCTCTGATACCAACTTGTCACGCCCGGAAATTCACTAGTAATTTCCGAACTTATTTGTGCATGAAATCCTCGTCCAGGAATCATCCGAGGTACACAAATTGACAATTTAATATACAGATTCATCAAATTAACTAAAACGATAAATACTTACTTAAGAGGCACTTAGTCCTCACCATGAAGAAAACTGCAGCGGAAAATAAAATCTAGCGAAGCTCCGGCTCCACTCCCACAGGCAGCTCAACTGGGGTATAAGCCAAACGTCTTCTCCTTCTGGATTCTTTTTCTTCAACTGAGGTTGATTGATTATTGCAAGGTGAGCATATGACATACTCAGCAAGCCACACAGCAAATATGCAAGTGCACAAGGATACCAAAGGCTGGCATAATATAGGCTCATTTGCAAAAGCAGCATTTAGCAAAACATTTAAGAGAAGTAAAACAGTGGAGTAATTAATCAGAAATTTTAATCAACACTGAACAGCACACCCATGCTGCACAGGCCCAACCATCCTGAACAACCATACCCGGCTGTACAGATCTAACTCCAAACCAGGAGCTAAGCAAATTATTACCAGGTATAACATCCATAATTATTGTGAGAGGTGTGAGACTAATCACGAAAAACATTGCTCAACCCGCCCATAACCGCGGGCACGGCTATTCGAATAGTTTTACTCTGGCCAGAGGTGTACCACTGTACCCACAAGACACAGCCCCACATCATGTCACCATGTGCCTCAGTACCACCACGGTACCTCGGTAAGGAGCTGTGACATTACCCCTCGCACAACACAATCCACCACAGTGCACCATTCCTGGATCATAATCACCCCCTCAAAAACCAGAGGCATGGACTCCCCAACGACCCCCGTGGGCTTATCTCCGCCACTTCTCAGTCTGGTGCTCCGCAATGAACTATGTTATACAAAAGGTAAAGCCGTTGCCCATGCTGGCTTGTGGTTGGCACGGTTAATGTTTCACAACAGTAGCTCACGAACCGGTCCTTAATTACCATGAGCACGACTCTCAAAACCATGTGCTCACAACCCACCTTTATCATATTTTAGTTGGCAAGTAATTATTTAACCAATCACGATTGACCATCGTGAACTATCATTAAGCCACCATTAAATAATAGTGAGTCATAAGTTATCCCAATAGTGTGCTAATGTTTCTAAGCATGGCTAAGCAATTATATCTAATATCTAGCTGAACCAATATATAAAGCTCAACTAGTCAAGTTATAATAACCCAAGGTATCAAGGAATAAAGTAATCAATGCAAATTGGCCATAACAAAGGAATAAGTTCACACCACTCGGTGACATTCTAAAATAAATGCACAGTTAAAATAAATAGAGAATTTTAAATATAGGATCAACATGCTCAAAGGATTGTGTTTAGGATCTGTGTGACTTGCCTTGCAATAATCGGTCTTCAATTAATCTTCTTGAATACTTCCGGCGCACTCGCGAACCTTCGCAACGACGAAAACGACAAGTTAACACGCAAAACGAAGAAAAACACTAATAAAAACCAAATAAACAGTATAAAAAGTAAACAGTACATGAATTATGAGACTTGAACGGCCTCATTCTGACTTCATATGAATTTATTATGAATTTTACAAGATTAAATCTAATTAAAGCCCATTTAAAAAGAATTAAATAAATTTAATTCAATTTATGGACAATTTTATTATGTAGATCTTTATTTTATACAATTTTTGCAACTTGAACCACATTAAACTTAGTTACAAAGAATTAGTTATGAATTTTTAAAGATTAAATCGGATTAAAACACTTATATAGATTTTAATTGAATTATGACGCAATAATGAATTATTTTTGAAAAGGAAAAGAGAATTATTGCGTCAGCGGGTCGGGTTTACGGTGGACCGGGTGCATGGCAGCGGTTCACGGGAACGGACGGCCGAGATCGATCCTATCCACAACGAACGGCCGAGATCGATCGGATCCACCGCGGCTCACGGACGGACGACGACGATGACGTCAGCGGTGACGTCACCACCGGCGGCGGCTCGGGAGCGCAAGCTCGCCGGCGAACGACGGCGCGACGACGCAAACGGAGGACACCAACGGGTAGAGGGCGACGCGGCGAACTCACCGGTGACCAAAGAAGCGGCGGAGGAGCAACGGATGGCGCCGGCGACGAGGAAGAAACGGCGGCGAAGATCGGGTCGACGGCGGCGACGGTGCTCCGGCGGTCTTCGGCGACGGCGAAGGGGTGGACGGGGACAGCGGCGACTTGGCGACCACGATGACGACCTCCCCGAGCGACGACGACGACCGGAACGGCGGCGGCGCACGGCTGGAGCGGCGGCGACGACGGCGGCGCTAGGTCACACGGCGCTAGGGCGCTTCCGACGGCGAGAGACGAAGACGAGGGAGGCGGCGGGTAGAGGAGAGCTCGGGGGTCCTTTTAAAGGGGTTGGAAGGCGGCGGCAAAGGCCCACGGCGATCGGCGGCGGGATGGAAAGCTCGGGGTTCGGAGGAAAGAAACCGATCCGATTCGACCTCGAATCCACGAACTTCCAAAGCGATTGAGACGATGATTCCAAAAGAGAAAAGGAAGAGGAGATCGAGAAGATCATTTCGCCTTTAAAGATTTCACCGGATCGGGAAAGGATCGATCGGATTTGGAAGGAGACGGCGGCGGCTCGGACGCGGCTCGGCTAGGGTTTCGGGCGGCGGCGGCGGCGCGAGGAAGACGAACCTGACAGGTGGGGCCCACCTGTCAGCGACAGCGAGAGAGAGAGGAGAGCGGCGGCTCGGACTAGGCCGACTGGGCCGGGGAGAGAGAGAGGGTTTTTGGGCCGACTTTCGGCCCAAAGCCAAAAGAAGACTTTTAAAAACCTTTTTCAATTTAAATTATTTATGAAATGCAATTCCATTTATTAAAAATACTTCCTTAGCTCAAATAAATCCCAGAGAAATCTAGGAATTATAGAATTAAGCAAAGTATTTAACAAAATTTTATCTAGCCCAATTTTATATTGAGATTTAGCAAATTAAAATTAGATCTTCTCTTTTAAGCTTTTAAGATCATTTCTAATAATTCCTTTTAAACAACAATTTATAATTTAAGGATTTTTAAACAAGAAAAGCTCTTAACAAATATAATTAGATCATTATTGATCAAATAATTACTGAACTATTCTTTGTATTATTTAGGAATTGAGCTCTGAAAAATCCAAGAAAATCTCAGAGAGTTGACTTAATCATGGAGAATTTAATAAAAATTAAATCCATCCATGCTTTATATTTAGAAAATTTTATTTCCCACATTTAACTTCACTTGTAAATTAAAGAACATTTAAGATAAATTTTATTATTAATTTATTAAATAATTTATAAATCCTGAAACGAAAATCAGGATGTGACATTCTCTCAACTAATTATATAGGTCCAAAATTGAAGCTGCCTAATATTTTCTTCATCTATAGTTTTGAAGAAACACCAAACATGTGTCTTGCATTTTCTTCGTCATATCGGTATTTAATTGCATCACTGTCTAACTAATAGTGTTTTAATTTGATTTGCAGGAAGAGTTCAACTTGAGAGTATTTGGTCCTGAAAAGGGAGGCACCATGTTTACTGATCAGGTACGTATACACTTGTATGCTTTGATGAGCTTTTTCTTTCTTCCTTAATTCACCTAGAATAAACTGGAGGATTTTTGTACTTTGGTCCTCGTGTAAATAAATAAGCTCTTTAGTATGCCACATGTGTCATAATCTAAAATGTTCTAAAGTGTAGATATCTCATACTCCCTCCGTTTCATATTATAAGACATTCTGCCCACATTCATATAAATATTAATGAATCTAGACATATATGTGTATATATTCATTAATATCTATATGAATGTGGTCAATGCTAGAATATCTTATAATATGAAACGGATGAAGTAGTATTTATTTACAGGTAGGACTTAGGACACGTAGGAATCAGTACTAGTATTTCAAAGGAGATGGTTGAAGAAGATTGAGAAGATTTATAAAATGAGGTGAACCATTAGCATATGATTAATTAAATGTTAATTATTGTAAACTTAAAAAATGATTAATGTGACTTTTTAAAACAACTTTCGGATTTTTTTTAACAAAAATGCACCGTTTACCGTTTAGAGGTCTTTCTCTTCAATCGGCTAAAACGAACACAGATGATGTTATCAATATGTATGTATGGACAAAGGAGTGGATTGGCTGTTTTTCTAACTTTGATATTTTTGCCATTTTGCTTTGTAGGTATTTGATTTATTTGATTTGAAGCTTGAACAAGCTCTCGGATTTGAAGAGTTTGCAGTAGCTTTATCCATCTTCCATCCTGACACTCCCATGGAGGACAAGATCGATTGTAAGTTGATACCAGTTCCATAGTCCATGTCTAGTGACTTTAGAAGGAAATGAACAACCTTAAGCAAAGACTATTGTGTCCATTCTCAACTGATTGACACTGTTGAATTTGACTACTTAGACTTTCAGTGCTAACAATTGTTGACTTGGTAACACGAATATGATACTACTGAATTCCAAAAGAAAAACTTTTACAGCATGAGAAAATAGTAACTTGATTTTACGATGTCATTCTTAGTTTCTTGTAGTCAAGAGGTTCATGTTTCCTATTTGAGTATTTACATAGACACTCCAATTTGTATTGTTGTCCAATTTGTCATTTTATTACTTGATGCTATAGTTTGTCAATGAGTCAAGCTTAAATAATTATACCATTTTGCAGTTTCTTTCCAGTTGTACGATATCAAGAATCAAGGTTTTATTGAAAGAGCAGAGGTACTTTTCTTGACCAAGTTATCACACACCATATGTTACTACTTACTAGCTCATAGAAGAGCTAGAGCTCTGTTAGTACTTGGCCACTTTAATGTTTTGAAAGTTTGAGAGTGGATTGAACTAGTTTTGTCACTAATCAGACATTTTACTTGTGTGTAATCTTAGCTAAAGCAAATGATGGTTGCCACACTGGCTGAATCAGATCTGAACCTTACAGACCAGGTCATAGAAACCATCATTGACAAGATGCAGATTTCATGGCTCTTTATCCTTAATTCTGAGTTTAGTTACTTTGGGATGTTAGAACTGATGCAGTTTTGAGACATGACACTTACTGAATTATCTCAAATGAAATGTTAACTGCAAATTTTTTTTTCCACTGTCATCTGAAGACATTTGAGGAGGCAGATACGAACAAAGATGGGAAAATTGATTTCGAGGAGTGGCAAGCACTTGTCAACGCCCATCCATGTTTACTGAAGAACATGACTCTGGCCTACCTCGGGTAGTAAGACTCTCCTACGTTGATCCTTTCTTTTGTTTTCCTTTCTAGTACACTATGTTCTTTTGAAAACTTTGCTCGAGTGAATGATAATTTGATCGACTCTTTTGGTTGTGTATTTTGATGGTGTTAGCTTTACTTCATGCTAATTGCAAAGATGTTGCATGATTTGTTTGAGCAGAGATATCACCATGACATTTCCTGAGTTTGTCTTCCACTCTCAAGTGAAGGACTAATCCTGACAGTCCAGCTGGTCAAGTAAGCAATGCTCCGAAGGGATCGTATTGTCGTCGTGTTACTCTTCTTAGCCTTTACTCTTTTGTAATGATACTTCAGCACAAGTGTACAACAACAGGGATCATCTCTTGGATGTTCATCCCTCTCCTCCCTAGCTTAGTTTTAGCTAGATAAGTTAATTTGTGGCCTTACCAACCTGACATGATCGAAAAATAGAAGCAGCAAGTGGCAGCAGTTGTACATTCCCATCAGATAACCAGATATTTATGTGGTCATGTATAACCATGCTCATGTTAATGTTTAATAAGCAAATAAATTCACTAACACCTAGATAGTACATCCATACAAGTCAGAGACCGTACGTGTAATTTATGCTAGCTTCAAAATTGAGCATGCCGATCTGATAGCTCGGCAGCAGGTGGATGTATCAAAGTATGACAACTTAAGTATGTCGATGCAACAACATGGATATGCAAAAGTGCTTTCTTGGTCAAAGAAGAGGAAGGTGCCATTATGCGTGATTTTTTTTAAGAAACACATCATCAGGGCACACATTGATAAAGGAACCACCTCAGCCGCTTGGAACTTCCATGCAATTTTGTTGCAAAATTACGTGAATTTGATATTCTTTCCTCTTTTTCTGAAAGACGGAAGTAGGAATTAATGTGGGCCATTTATTTGCAAGAGTTACACATTTACTATTTAACACAGACATACATGGAAGGAAAGATTTAAAAAAATACTAAAAGTTTCAAAACACTTACGTTTATGAAAAGGAAAATGAGCATTTGGAACGAGTCCAGAGAATGCAAGGATTATTTTGGGTGGGCACAAGAATTTAAGGGCTTATTCGGATCATAGGATTGTAAAAACGTAGGAATAGAAAAATCATAGGAATATGATAGAAATGCATGTGTAAAACAGAGGATTGAAAAACACAGGATTTCTGTAGATAGGATTGGTAAATGTGTTCGGATAGACAGAGGAAAAACAAAGGAAACGGAAAAAATGAGGTAGGAGTGGATGTTCGAGACTCCTAATGGGCGATCAATCGCTGGGCGACAGGAGCAGCGATCGATTTCCCTTTCCGCCACTTGCCGCCACCACTTGCCTTTTCTGGTTTTTCTTAGCCTCTTTTCTATTGGGCTTGGCCCACGAGAGCCCATCCACAGCACGCGATATCTCTAATGTGCGATCAGTCGCTGGAATCTCGGCGCGTCAACCAGCTTTCATTCGTTTTTTTTTTTTTTTTGCCAGGCTCGTGCACTTGCTCTCGTCTTTTCCACTGCTTTTTTTTTTGTTTCCTCACGTGGTTTTCGTTTTGGCACCGTATTACTTTCCTATTTTATTAAATTTTTTCACCTAAAGTTTGTACATATTAAATTTACACATCTAAAGTTTACACATCTAAAGTTTATACACCTAGAGTTTATAGATCCAAAGTTTATAAGTTAAAAGTTTATATACTCGATTCAAATTTGAATTTAAATTTAAATATTTTTTATATATAGTACACGTAAAGTTTACACATCTAAAGCTTACACATCTAAAGTTTATAAGTCAAAAGTTTACATATCCGATTCAAATTTGAATTATGTATAAACTTTAGATGTATAGAAATACTATATATATAAAATATTTGAATTCAAACTCAAATTCAAATTTGAATCGGATATAATTCAAATTCAAATTTGAAACGAGTATATAAACTTTTGACTTATAAACTTTAGGTCTATAAACTTTAGGTGTATAGAAATACTATATATAGAAAATATTTTGAATTCAAATTCAAATTCAAATTCAAATTTGAATAAGATATAATTCAAATTCAAATTTGAAACGGGTATATAAACTTTAGGTCTATAAACTTTAGGTGTATAAACTTTAGATGTATAGAAATACTATATATAAAAAAATATTTGAATTCAAATTTAAATTTGAATCGGATATATAAAATTTTGACTTATAAACTTTTAGTCTCTAAACTTTAGATGTGTAAACTTGAGGTGTATAAACTTTAGGTGTATAAATTTATTAAAATAGGAAAGTAATGCGGTGCCAAAAAAAGGAAACCAGGTGGAGGGAGGGAGGGGGGAGGGGGTAGCGAATCTGATCGCTACCCCCATTGCCAGGGCGATCGATCGCCCATTAGGGCTGCCCGTGGATGTTAATTTTCCTTTGTTTCTCTATTGATTGCACAGGAAAGGAATGTTTCCTCTGATTTTCCTTTGAATTGATTCATTGAACCGAACGAAAGGAAAGGAAATATTTCCTATCTACATTATTCCTCTGAAAATCCTCTAAAAATCTCTCACTCCGAAGAGGCCCTAAAAGGGCAGGAAAATAAGAGAAAGAAGATAGAATGCACCATCTACCTTCAATTTGCACCAAACCAGCACCACTCTTCCTCCCTAGGTTTTCTCCAGTCATTTTCCTCTGGCAAAAGTAGCGCCACACTGCATGCTTTGTTATGCAAATCAACAATCAGGCAAAAAGGTAATTTGTGATCTTACCGCCCCCGTCAATCCATCACCATTCGTGGTTAAGCACACCAGTATGAAAACTTGGGCTGTTGGTCACAAAAGGTACCAGCAAAATAACGTTGTATTGATCGTTTGAACTGAAACGAATGTTCCATACGATTTCAATCAACTGATGCGATTTAGATATAGCCTAAGTCGCGGGCATTTGGTGAGAGCTGAGGATGTAAACTTACAGCCCAATCGTTTTGACAGCAGCTGATTATAAACCTTCAAAGCTAATGCTAGAGAAATAAACTAAAATAAGAAAACATCAAAATCAACTCTGAAATTAAGTTCTAAAATTCAAATTTTTGCCGTGGCCAATAGGTTAAGTTTCAAAATTCAAATTTTAGTTGTGGCCAATTATCTGAAGAATAAACATCAGCACCAGATTTCTGAAACGTGTACTCATAAAAGGAGTAACGATCAAGAAGTAACAAGTGCCCGCCACGGCAAGCGAAGCCATCCGCTCACGAAAGGTGATGTAAACAGAAAATATAAAGGCTATCGTTCCCATCCAAATCTTTTGCCAGACAAATAAATAAAACACGAATTTTACAAAAAGAGAACGGTCACACACGTTTATGAATACCGACCATTTCAAGGGTCACAAACGACCAGCGATTTTAATTTACAACACCACGTCTGTGAAACAAATAATAATAAATCCCAGTTAACCTGCTTCAGACTTGAGCACAGGTTGTGCAACAATGGCGTGCTCCGGCCTGGCAACACGCAGTTGGTGTTTTGAGATTTGAGATTATATGGCCACACTTCTTTTCATCCCAACAGCGGTCTGGTCTGGTTAGCATCCCTTTGACGGGTATAGCTGCAACTTTCAAACATGGCAGCGGTTCAAAATTTTCTACCTAGAAGTTTCTCCCTCTGTATTGTTGCATCTCCTGGGGAAAAAGAAGAAGAAAGAATGTTAAACAGAAACAGGGGGCATTAGGTACAAAGCTTTGATGATTATACAGATACATTGGCTTACAGGTGCATAATAATAAACAGGACGAGTCTGCCCCATCATCATCTGCTGCCCATACTGCAACTTGAAAAAACATGTATAAGCCCAGCGATAAGTGAAATCAATATTTTGCATTGTTTATTTGACAACTAAGACCACAGATGCACACCATGCGAACTGATCAGATAAAACTTCCTCGTAGGTCAGTAGCGTGTAAAGAATGAAACAATAGTTGAAAGAAGCATTAAAAAAGGTCAAATTTTTAAACAATGCACCGCATATAATCACAAGAGGTTGAACAAGAACTTCTTAAGCATGGTAAAAAGGGGGGGGGGACAAGAGCAGTAATCATAACAGTACATCGGATGAAACATTAGTGAACACATGGCATCAGAGATATAAAGAAACTGAAATTGAAATCATAGCAACAAGATTCCTTACCTGTGGCCCAGCAGGATGCATGTAACCTTGGGGCGAAGGTCCAGGCTGAGCATTGTACACCATAGGCTGTCCACCATAGGCCGGTGGAAACTGCAGTTTCATTCATATAAATGCAGTAAGGAAACCATATACATACAATTTATAAGTTTAAAAACATAGCCCATGTAATGAAATATGTAAAGTGGAACTGGAACCACAGCCTTCTTAAGAGAATAAGAACATTATAGTATGTAGATGTTATCACACAAGTACACAACAGTATAAATGTGCCATCCATTAGATCCACAAACAAAAAAAAGAAACAGAAATATTAGCTATAAATCATTTCAGGGAACTATATGATCACATTCAGTGGAATCAGAGCATACTTCGAAGTATCTGAAACAATTGTTTCCCTTAAACCCACAAATCACTCATGTAGGCTTCTGGACCAAAACTCAATGATTATACTTAAGGCCACAAAATCTTAGTCAGCAAGAACAGTTCACGCGCTTCTTAAAATTAATGATGAGAAATGGTTGTTGCATCAAGAAAAGGAAATGAATCCAGTAAGGATTATTGCATCAAGAAATGGGTGGACTTGGTAACCAAACGAAGGCCAAATTAAATGCTTAAATGATGCATTCTGTCAACAAACCAGTGCCACAATGCCTTGAGAAAATAGACCATATATGCAATTACATCCATAATTTAAGTATTAAACCACTATTTGAATGTCTGAATACTGTTTTCAGTTCTTAAAAAGATAAAAAAAAAGTAAGAACTCACCATTGGAGGTCCAAGAGGTGCTGTAGGCATGTTATTAGCATAGTAGTATGGTCCATCAGATGCTGGAGGTTGTGGAGGCCTCACAGAAGTTGATGGAGTGAAACTCTTAGCATTAGGGTTCAGCTTGAATTCCTGGTTTAGAAATAACAGTTGTCAGTGACCTTGCGACACAAATGATCAGAGGAATAGATGCCTATCAATATCCATGCACAAAAGCAGCCAGATGTAGTATACGATAGACCTTAGCATTCGGGTTCAAAGATGATTTTTCTGAGCTAAGAGAACCCATTGAAGAGCTCGGGGACAAGCCTGGAGCACATGCAACTGAGCTTGCAGCAATGCGCTCAGATGTTGATGATGTAGAACTACCAGGTCCTTGGGAGGAATTCACATATTCCCCCGAAGAAGGAACTTTTCTAGACAAAGAAGAATCTGCAGGTAGACTTTCTGAGGATTTCTTTGCTTGACCAGATGATGAAGGCTCAGAAGCGTGCGAGCTTGAAGATGGCACTTCCAAGTCTGACAAGAGTAGGACAGTACCATAACATCAGTTGAAGAACTTGTGTTAAAAATCATCAAGTGTAAGCAGATAACACAACTGAAATTAATAAGAACACTGATTCATCTGTAAACTAAAGATCTTAACCATAAATCATTTTACAACACTAGATAGCACCTTTACATAAAGCAAACTTTTACTAAATTTTACAACATAGCTTTGAAAGGATTAGTGTTCAAAAAATTTTACAGGGCTAAATTGTTCAATTCAGTGACACCTCATTTGGTTCGAACTTCAAAGGTAACTAAATAATCATGAAACCTCTCATTCAGAAACATAGCAATCATCCAATTCCGTAAACTAGGGATGGATACCTAGTGAAGGAATTATTCTACTAAATCAAAGTGTTACTAGCTAAACACACATACGGATAACATTTGACTTCATAACAACTGCACTGTAACCAAGTATAAGCACTCAGTTTGGCTTTACATTCAAACTATACATAGAACTCATAGAAGGAATACACTACCACAAAAGGACACAAATCAGGATAATCAACAAAAAAAATGTCTCTAGCTAATGACACATGATCACAGTAAATGCCATAAAGACAAATTGATGCATAGATCTATAACCAACCTTCAGAAATCGATGACCTGCCACCTTCAGATATCTGTAGAAAAGAAAAAGGTTTAAGTTGGATGTGAAAAAAGATGGTGTATGAATCATGTTAATAAGATAACACAGAAGGCAGCTTACAATATTCTCAGTTTGCAAATTGCTTGTGTCCCTATTACCACTGCTATCTTTGGTCAGTTTGTCATCCAACCTGTGGTTCACAATAGTGTGTCAAAAGTCTACCAATGATATTTCCATCACCATCACAATATCATCCTATTGCAATTAACACAAACTAAATAGAGAAGCTAGGAATAATGCATAATGGCCTCTTTTGGGGGGAAACAAGTACCAAATTTTAACCTAAACACAGAGGTTCAATTGTAAGAAACTACTACTGTTGTCCTAAAATATAGCTACCTCTCCACTTACTCCCTCATCTCAACCAACCACAACAGTCTCATTTAATTTCTCCACCTTCATCTCAACCAATCACAACCATCTTATTTAATTTCTCCACCTACTTCCTCGTTACCAATTACAACCATTGTTCATTTAAATTTCACATCAACCTTAATCCCTCAAGGCCTCAAAGACAGTCCAAAGGTAGCTATATCCACACACGTGGCAGGCCAGGAACTGGGAAACAGAACAGCGTGCACAAAAAAAAAATGCTTCCGAAGTGCCAATTAACATTTGCTCCTAGATCATGCCAAAACATGCATCCTGATGGAACTACTTGAGGTTGATCATGGAACTGAGGATTGTAATGGCTTGCTAAAATTATAGATTAAGTAGTAAGGGTTATCATAAGGAATAAGAAAACTTCTTCAGTTTAAGATCGCGATGTCCAATCTCTCAATAAAAAATGTGCTACTTAGTGCTAATCAGCTAGTAATTGTGATGGATAGTTTACAAACTACACTTTCTAGTGAGTTACTTAAAAGTTTGCGACAATAGGTTTTAGCAGATGGGCTCAATTTGAGCTCTAGCCTGTTGAGTCCGTGCTTTTCTTTTCTTTTTCTGTAACCCTAGATGGAGTAAAGAACAGAGAAAAAGCACAACCACACCTGGAAAAAGATTAATGATACAACACAACTTCCGAGTGATTCAGCATTAAAAAGTACACAAAACTCATATGTCCAGCGAATAGCACGATTTTATGTTAGAACCATATCGCAGCTTGCAATGTATAAAGCAGATGTAACATGCAAATTTATGTGTATGGATTAGATAGATGAAATTTGCAGCAAATGTGGAGAGAAGTATATATACCTGCTTTCATCAATGGGCAAAAGTTTATTCAGCTGGGACTGAGATACTAACTGGCTAACATTGTTAGTGACAGGCAAATCAGTGCCAAATAAATGGGAAGATGATTCTTCATCCTGCGTGCCAAGAAGATTAGCAAAGTTTTAAACAAGATTTCATGCTTAAAAATATTGCATATAGTAGTAAGAAAATATATTTGTTAATAGAAAGAAAAGCTGAGATACTCCCTCCGTCCCAAAAAAACCAAACCAAGAATTGGATGTGACGTAACCTAGTACAATGAATCTGGACAAGTCCAGATTCATTATACTAGGTTATGTCACAACCAATGATTTGTGTTTTTTTTTGGACGGAGTGGTAAGTAATTCTACTAAATATTGCTCTCAAAACTAATGGTATAACTCATATATTGGGGACGACCAACAGCTCAAGCAGCACCTATTTAGAGATGGAGAATAGTACAGATAAGGCCACTCCGCTCTCTTACCGCAGTTGATAACAAAGCCTTGGGATTAGTGTTGCCTGCCCTGGTGAGTGAATCAACTTGATTTGTATTGCTCAAGACATTTGTAGATGACTTAAATTTGGTATTGTCTGTATCTCTGCGCACCGCTGAATATTTTATCTCTTCATCATGGTCAAAGTCATCATCCAAATATAAACCCCTCTCCTGCAAATATAATCTCATATTTTTATATATACTACGAAGATAACTGTTGCACATGTGTTTCTATTTTAATATTTATGCAGTCGCTAAAACTTTCTACACCCTCCACTAGTTCCACACACGCACACACACACAGAGAGAAGCAATAAATTATAAGAATGAGCACAGAGTGAAACATTTATTTACTTTTTAGCGAGAAGGTGTTTGTATCCGAAAACATGCATATTTTTACTAAACTGAAGGACCAGAAAGCCCAGTGACTAGAGGCTTACCTCAGCAAGATGCATATCTTTTGTATCTTCTCCCTCTATTTCTCTAGCTATTCTTGAAGCATGCTTTTCAAGCTCTCTCATGTGAGGACCTCTCTCTAGCTTTGTGGTATAAAGTTCTTCATTGAAAGTACTCTTTACCCCAAACAAAGCTGCATTTGTTTCAAACTGGTCCCAGCTCCTAGCACCATATTAATTATTAATAGTCATGCTAACATGTATAATATATGAACATTATCCCCAGAGGAGCTAGTACTTTACAAGCAAAAATTTCCAAGGATCTAATAGAGAAATGAATCAGCAGAAAACTTCCAACATAATTTCAATCTTAGTTCACAGTTCCTTGCAAGTTACCAGAAAGTTCAAACATGTTCTGGCAGAGTTCCCATTCAAACAGATGCAAGAGGATTATAGGACATTAACTTGACAAAAAGTGCTTACCATTGACAATCATATATTGACTCCCCATGTATAACCTTTTAAGTAGATTGACATCACATTTAGTGTTCACTATATCAATGTTTTCAAAGTGGAAACTCAAGTCTAGTCGCCTCAGTACCGATTAGGGCGACTTTCCGATTAATCGCGGTTAGAACCAAGTCGCCTTAGTACTGACTAGGACAACTAACCACGACTAATCAGGATTTGTCGGACAACTTGAAAACATTATTATGGCCCTTGTGAAACCAGCTACACATAGCATAAGTATGAAACAAGTAGTCGAAGCTGATGTTATTGCTAATGATCACTAAGTCATCAAACAATCTCTAAATGTGATTGATTATTTCACAACCACCTTGATTTAAATCCAACTTTCACTGATGTGACTTGTAAATCTTAACTTTGTAGCCATACCTGTTCCCCTTTCTGTCATATTTTTCCAATTCGATGCACTCTGAATCCCCTTCATCCGGTGCCCAGCGCTCAAGCTCCCTCTCCTCAGGATAATGAGAGCGAGAAATCGCAGAGTCTATCATTAAGTCCTTCCTTTTTTCTTGAGAAGGACCTTTTGGCAGCTCATCTCCACCAAGTGCTACATCCTGAAAGTTCATGACAAATAGTCACAACATAAGAAAGCATAAACTGGACAATGGATCATGAGAAATCGGATAGCAATCAAAAGGAACATATTTGCTACTCACAAAAACCAGTGATCAAACAAACTAAGTATCAATAATGGCAGTTATATAAATTTTTGGGTGAGAACATAAACAGAAAAGCAAGACAACGGTGGGGGATAATACCTTGGCAAGAATTTGGACAAGCTCCCTTCCTGGTATTATCATAGTCTCAGGCTTCTTTACAACATCAGCTGCACTTTTCTGTCCCCTGGCAGAACCATCCTTTATCACCTGTGCCATTTTCATGATAACTCCTACAAAAACACTCTCAAGAGTTATGACCAAAAAAAATATCACACTTGCTCCCTCTAATCAGTATAGTACCAGGATATGCCAAAAGAAAATAAAAGGATTCAAAAGTAATGCCAGATAACATATGGAAGCGAGATTTGTTACCTAAGTCTTTGTCAGAGTTTGTTGCATGTAGGATTCCGGAGATAATAGAGCCATTTTTCACATGCACATCCACATGTTGTCCAATAAGTTGTGTCAAAACATATATTAGTCGATCCCTTGAAGGGCTTCCATGTCCTAGTTTGCCTCCATTTTCTAAACACAAATGAAAACGTCATCCATGCAGCATAATAACAAATACAAAACAAATAAAGTAAGACATGAGGTTTACCTGCACCACTAAAACCACCAGATGAAGATCTCAGCAACTGTGTTTTATTGTCATGCCTTCCACTACCCTCCCTGTCAAGCTTCCGATGGGGAAATCCATTGGCAGAAGCCCTAGGAGGCATAGTTTGCTGTGGGTGATTCATAGCTCCTGCATGAACCACCACAAAAGTTTAAATTTACATAAGGATCAAAAGAAATTCAAGATTGAGTTGAATGCAAAATGAACATGTGTAGATAGCACGCACAAACATTATATTGGTAACTAATTACTTATCACAAATTGATCCAGCATGCTTAAAATGTTGATGTCCTATCTTCATGTTAACTCTAAAAGCACAGTAGTAGTTAGTACTCTAGTATTACATCTAATCATCTAGAGATCATAATGAGCAATTTTCTAGAGGTTCCTTCCATTTTTAAGTGCCTCTGGGTCAAATGTTAACATAATTCCAATCAAACTAACAAGATATGTAGCAGACAGGCCATGGCAAAGGGTACAAAATTCTAACTAAAATGAAATTGCCCATAACTCATTTGGCATCCCAAGAGTGAACGTACAGGAACAGGGTGAGCTAAAAAATCAATAGGGCCCAACAATAAGAAATTCATAAAATGATTGCAAATCCTACTCAATAACATGTGAAAAGTAGCTTCCTCTCCCAAACTTATTATTGTGAGATTCTGTTATGAATCCATATGATTGTGCTAGGTGAACGAATAATGAAGCGACGAGTACAAATAGACCACCAAATCAGTAGTAGCCACAGGAAAGCTGGTTTCACCTCAAGAATGTATGACCACAGCTATTGCATACCGTAACAGAACAACATGCCAGTAAATGAATTGCAACGCACACTCTTGGGAAACACAAATATATACTGGAGCTCCATTATTTGGATTGGATAGAAGCTAACATCATAACAAGATATTTACGAACACAAATCAAATATGTACTAGTAGCAACGCTTCTACCACGCTACACTTTGGCCGCTAGCTGCAGCCCGGAAACCAGAACCGCTTGCACGCAGCCGAAACAACCCGCGGAGCTACAACAGCACGTTGCCCCCCCCCCCCCCCCGGGGGTGATAATACAGGTACCAAATGCATCAGATGCGGACAAAAACAGCTCGCGGCAGGCGGAAACAGGCGGAACCCGACCGAAGCAACGGCATTCCCGCGAGCCCCGGGGCGGATCGCGCCTCAGATCTACGCGCCTAGGGTCCAACGCGGGAACGAGGCGAGGCGAGGCGCCCGCCCCCCATCCCCGATCCAACCGAACGAGCAGAGAGAGAGGGAGAGAGGGAGGAGGGCGGGAGAAGAGACGGTGGCTGTTACCTGCGCCGCGGAGAAACCCTAGGGTTTCGGGGGGGTCACCGCCGGATCGGTGCGCGTGGGGAACCGGAAGCGGCGCGCGAGCGGGCGAGCGGGAAGGCGGGCGGGCGGGCGGGCGGCGGCGACGGAGGGAGCGCAGGCTCGGGCGGTGGAAACCCTAGCTTAAGCTCCGGGCGGCGGGAGGGGGGGGAGAGGAGAGGGGGTGGGTGGTGCTCGCCGCCGCAGCCGCCGCGGTGAGGGAGGCAAAGGCAAAAGGGAGGAGGAGGCGAAAGACCGAGCGAATCGATGGTCCGCGCGAGGCGAGGAGTTTTTTTTTTTCTTCTGGTGTTTGGCTCCGCGGGCGCGAGCTGAGCTGACTCGTCGCGTCGCCTGGCTTGGTGGGGGGGTGGGTCGCGTTGCGTTGTTGCGTGCTAGGTCAGGTCGCGGTGGGTCGTCGGGCTACGCGGCTCGTGTCGTTCGGCTGTGGGGTGTGTGGGCGGCACGTGCCGGGCGCCTGGAAGATTCACACGCCGATCGCAGCAGCTTCTCTGTTTCCATTTCCCCTTTTCTTTTTTGGTTTCTTTTTCTTTTTCTTCTGGAAGTGTATTCGGGCTCGTTCTGAAGTGGAATCTCTTGCGCTGACGATTCCGACACGTTTTAACCTGTACGCTAGCCGTGTCATTGCACGTGATAAAAATACGAAATATATACTGTATTCTCTTTTTTTCTTTTGAAAATTTGAGAAAACTACCCATAGCTCACTAAAATACTCATCCGTTTTCAGCAAAACCACTACTTCTATCATGTCAAATTCAACACCAAATAAACTATGCCTCAGGGAATTGGACTAGTTGGGCATATTTATTAAACAAAAACAGTACAAACATAAATGTTCACATAAACTCGTGCACTTATCCCTATAAACACATACCGTACCCCTTATAAGCACCTCTAAAAAGACATATCTTAAATTTGACTAAGTCACCACGAGCGGCTCGCTATTGATAAATATATCGTCTACCACTAATAGAATTATCAAGCATGCTAATACAAATATAATCTAAAATAGACTGAGCCATCCCATGGCTTACTCATGGATGGATCCACCTTGGTTTTGACTAGTGGTACATTCGCGATCAACTTTGGTTCATAGTGTACCATGTTATTTCGTATGGCAGTATTCTTTCTTACCGTTTAATATTTTTGTCTTGAATGTTTTTGCTCCCTTTTGCATGTTGAGCTAAGTTGCCTCCCTTGAATTCGATTTTTAGGGAAAATTCAGGGGTTTCATTCATCATTTGTGGTGCCTTCTTCTAATTTGATTGCTAATAAGACAAGTAAAAATCCTCAAGTTTTAAAAATTAAAAAATGGATTTGGCTTATAATTTAAAGTTGAAACAAGTAGGCCATTTTGTCACCTTTGTGTGCTCATCCTCTGTATCTCACCACACAAATTTTCGCTGATGTCCATCTCTCTTGTGTTTGTGGCATACTGTTTTGATGAAAAGAAGAAGATGGCACTTGTTTTCTCAGAGCTCTAAAATTCACATAATATTATCCAACCTTCAATTTTCATAATGGTATATGGCATATCCCCAACTATTGTGATGAATTAATCCAATGTGTCTTCTTTTCAAGGAAATCAACCAAATATGTTAGTTGCGAGACAAGGTACTCCCTCCGTTCCATATTACAGATGTCTTGGGTCTATCCTAGGTAAGACCAAGTTTATAGAAAAATGTAGCAAATATTTTCAACACTAAAAAATATACTATAAAATATATTCAATGGTGGTTTAATATAATTAATTTGATATTATAGATGATACTATGTGTTTCTACAAACTTGCCCCAAACCAAAAGACATATAAATATGAAATGTAGGAATACAACACAAGCCTCAATTTGGTGAGCATAGATGGATGAGCCCCTTAACAACATGTTGGTTTCTTTAGACATGTTTGGCAGTACTTTAACTCCTTAATCTAACTCCATAAGCGGAGTCTAGAGTGGAGTTGTTAATCGCTCTGAACCCCAGCCTCACCCCTCTAGTTCATTTTTTCATAATACTCTAGCCCACTCCACTCTTTATTTCTTTTGTGTGTGTGTGTGTGTGTTGCTAGAGGAACTATACATCGCACTGACACCCCCCCCTCTAGTTCATTTTTTTCAAATCACTCCAATCGGGAATGGGAATCCCCAGCCCTCCGGGGTCTTCGGGGCAACTGAGGTAGTGTATTACTTCAAGAGACCTACAAAATATATATCTTCGAGAGACCTACAAGATCTACATCTCTAAGGTACCGAAAAGAGGGTGGAGACCTATAAGATTTATATCTTCAAGGTGTTGAGGAGGCAGCTAGCAGCTTGGTGCATTTTCCACAGAGATGATCATTAAGAACTTGTTCATCAACGACATCTTCGAAAAGCTTGTCCAAAGTAACAAGAAAACCTGTGAATTAGCGAGGGGAGAGGTCTCAAGTGCCCTGGGACAACTTGGGGCCTCAGGCGCGCAGCATGCCCAGGGTGTGCGGCTGCCCTGAGGTGTAAGGGCTACCCTCGGAGCACAATACAGGTGACTAGAGCTGCCCTCGAGGTTCTCTGCTCCTCTGAGTGGGCCTGAAGGTTTGACTTCAACCAAACATCATGATTTCTGTTGCATGAAATAACCATTTGGAGAATAGCTCATCCGCATATGTCTAAGGACGTGGCGCCACATGTAGCCTCATGTGCGCCCACGTCAACCAAATGAATGGGAGGGGCGTGACATGTCGCGCCCGCATCAACTCCCGCATGGTCCCACCTCGCCACCTCTCAAGGGTTGACTGGTGGACCCCATAACCAGACAGAGATTTCCTTGCCTCCACCACCACTTATTAAGCTAATAGGAGGGGCAATCACTTCCGGTCAGCTTGCTAGGAGAGACATTGACAAGTCTAAGCATATCAAACTCTTTGGAGTAGGTCCTGTTCTTACATTCATGTATTGGCACCGTGGACTCCTCTTTGCCTATAAAAGGAGGATCCATGCCAACGGATAGAGGGCTGGATTTCATAGTAATTAGAGCCCACACAAGTCCCATATCTCATTTGTAACACTTGTTCCTCATCGATAATCCACATACACATAGAAGTAGGTAATGCATCCGTACGCCCCAAACCTGTATTCTTCTTTGTGTTCATCTGTTCCCTGTGGGTGACTCAGGCTTGACTAGCCCCTTGGCCAAATCTTCGAGAAGGAGACGGGGGGGGGGGGGGTACTCGCTTCTCCGTTGGAGGAATTCCGTACTCCAACTGTTTGGTTAGCATCCAAGCAGAGGTGGAGCTAAAGCTAGAGTCCTACCAAATAATCCCTCCAAGTTGTAGATATTGGTCTCCAACAATTTAATCTTAATATTTACTAGTTCTTTGGTTTCTTTTAAATCCCCAATTGTTGGGATTTGGTTTGTAAATGCAATCAATCTAGCTTCATCATGTTAGTAGATATGGGTGGCAATTTCCTCGTTGGAGATAGGGGCCCACCCCTACGAGGCTAGGGGCAAGGGAGAATTCTGATCCTCGGGTAAGCAGGGTAGGGGCGTAGGGCCCACTAATTTTCGAGGATGGGGACAAGGATAAAAAGAAACCCATGGTGGCCAGCAAGGCGGGTATAAGCTACTTCTCTAAGAGTAGCCAATTTCCAAAAATATAGGCCCAGTTGGCCCATTCCAAGTGGCCCATATATAAGGCTAACCCTAATCCCCATCTACCCTCACCTAGCCCCCTCTCCGCAGCCACCACTCCTAGGATGCCTCGTCGCTGGCCATTGTGCTACGCCCCATCACGACGCCCCCTCTCGTCGCTTGTCATCTCTTCGCGGCGCCCCCTTGTCACCAGCCATCTTATGCATCATTGCAGGGCCCCGAAGGAGCTAAGGACAGGGACTGATTGCACCCCGTTCATCCCTCCTGGGCCAAGGGTAGGGATATCCGCGGGTGAGCCGAAGCAGGGGTGTTCCAGCCCAACCCATCCCCACCATACCCCGTGGTCACCCCGATAAATAGTAGAGGATGCAATAAGTGGGGTGCATATAAACTAGGAATAGCATTGTGCAATGTGGCACGAGAATGCCCTTATAGCCCCACAACAGTTGGTTAAAAAGACTAGAAAAGACGGTTGGTTAAAAAACCAAAAGTAAGATCCAATCCCAGTTTATAGGCCCATGCAGCTTATCATTGTATAGGCCCGTTACAATACATGAGTATAGTACTAGTCTTCTCTACTATTATAAAATTGAAGATGTTTTTACCGGTGCTTCAGTACGTCATTCGTGCATGAGTCAGTTTTTAAGTTCGTTCGCTTATGTTTTTACCGGTGCTTCAGTACGTCATTCGTATATGAGTCAGTTTTTAAATTCGTTCGTTTTTGGGAATTCAAATCTGTATTTGAGTCAGATTTTAAGTTTGTTTGCTTTTAGAAATACAAGAGGAGTCGTATAAGAAATATCTTTTAAAAAAACTTACATGTTAACTTGAGATGATCGAACTCCTAATTGTAGTTCATGATTTTCTAGAAAATAATATATCCAAGCGAATTCTCACAGTGAAATTTCACCTTAACTAAACCGTATAACGATAATAAAATTAAAATAGACTTCACCCGTTGCAACATATGGGACATTTTTTCTAGTATTAATAAAATCCTTCTCCCATAATCCCGTAAAAGAACATAGGTAGTTCGACAAAATCAATGTGCATTTTTTTAAATTGCGTTTTTTTCCATGCGATTACCAAAATCTTTAGATCGGACTGCTCTTGCAACAATTAACTTGAACAATGCTGCAACAGAGTTTTCACAACAGCAGCAGAAACCTAGTTGCAGGTTAACACTTCCAGTTTCGACTGAAATGGCATGCATAGATTCTTTCAAGCAGAACAGATTAACAGTTAAGTATTAGAGAGTACATGTGCCGATCAATGATCCCAACAGTTTAACACCAGCCCAAAAGTTCAGGTGTTACCAGTGGACATCAGTCTGAATGTCCAGCCCCTTGTAAACATATGACAGAAACAAAGATGAATTAGAAGACTACAACTACATGCCATTGTCACTAGTTTCCAAGTGCATTATGGAAATGAAAAGAAAAGGATATCAAACACCTTGGCAAATTTAATCATCATCGATCAACCAAAAGGAACCCATCCATTCTACAGTGGCGCTCTGTTCATCTGGCAACAGCCATCTAAAACACTTTCAGCAGTGAAGACAAGCAAGACATCCACAGTTTCAGCTTAAGCAGTGACTGGCGTTTCTACTTTGGGGGTATCTTGTAACTTCTTCTGCGATTCTTTTATATACTTCCACCCACGCTTGTTTACCCCACTGATTTTTGTTGGCGCTTCAGCAGCTTGAACACCTGGATGAGAATCATATTAGAGAACAGATAATAGAAATATTGGGATACCAGCATTTACGGTACATCAACCATGTATATTCTAACTTAGTTTGAGATCCAAGTATGCCTATTGACATTGTTAGCTGCGGCAGGTTTCAATATCTTGCTTCAAATCCAAAAAGCCTTTGCATGGGGCCAGACAACAGTAACTAGGTTGTGGCCTGTCACAACAGAACATAAAAAAGAGAAACATGGCAGAAAAAACAGTAAAATGTCGCCTGGTTTCCATCATGGTATCAACTACTTAGGGAAAATAAATGCTAGGGAAACTAAAGCAGCATATAAGCACGGAAGCAGAGAACAGTGTTATTGGTGAGAAATCATCTATTGATCTAATGTACCAAAAGCTACCTACTACAATTTTCATATCATTGAAAAATAGAAACTAACACATAAAAGCTCTCTTTGAAGAATTGATTGGGAGTGAAAAAGAAACATTATGATGTTGTAGGAATTATATTATTCAAGGATTCAAATACTATGGATGCATTCAAAAAAGATTAACACATTACCCGTCTTTACTCAATTGTCACAGATAGGGCACGGAATTTGAATCAAGTAACAACCAAATCAAAGGAGATTTAAGGGTACAGTTCTACGGGACTCCTCTACTTGTACACAACTAACAATGCCTGAAGAGATATAAAAATCACACATAGATATAACTGAAAGCATCAGAAAATTACCAACTTTCATTTTTACAACCAATAGAACTTGATCAACTGCACTTTTATCGACTCAATAACCCTTTTCCATTGCCATGTTTTTCTTTTGTGATTGTTGTTTGTTACAACCTCAGTGTGGCCACAGAAAATGCATCACACCTTCCAGTTGCTAGGAGTATTCGTTTATAGTTTTGCAAAAGCCTACACCTGGATATTTAATTTTTAAGTTGGCATGATTACTTGAAGCAGCAGGTTTATCTTTTTTCAATGTTCATACCCCTACAGAAACTTAGGTGAACTCATATCATATCAGAACATCAGCCCAAGCTTGGTCCATGAGACGCTGAATTATATGCAATAACCATTTGGGGGAAGAGCTTATTCTCAAATTAAGGGAACTAAAATTGAAAACAAGTATTTTGGAAAAACTCTGTTAGATATAGAAGGATTGTGGATCTTTTATCAGTTTCTAGAAACCATGGATCCAGCCCTGTATGACACAATGTATGAAAAAAAGCAAAACATTAAACCAAGTAAGCACAGGTTGTTATTCCCATTGTTCTAAAAGGCAGCCTAGTCCTGTGTTAAGCGTTTGTCTCCTGCCTGACTAGCACCTAGCGCCTTGGTGAAATTCATGAGCATAATCAAATTATTTCCAGGATACAAACAGCAAACAGAATTAGAGACTATCATGTGCAACTTCACAGATTGATGTCAAGCATGATTATCAGCAGGCATGTGAAGCATGATTCATTTATGCCCTCTGCTGCACACTCGTGCTATACCAAACTGCTGATACAAAAGCAAATCGCATATAATACACACAAATCTACTGGCAAACAACAGCCATCGTATAATTACACATTTTAAGCAGGGTATCACCAAATTTGGAAGAGAACAGGAAAGGGGCAAAGACTAACCGGCCTTGTAGCGAATCCCCCACGCCTTCCCATGACGACCATCCTGCATTCCAAAGATCACGAAATCACAAGAGGCAACAGAAATGATTCGAAATGTGTCCGAGAAAGGGGGGGCGCTAACCTTGTAGAGGTTGATCTTGGTGATCTGGTAGGAGACGTCGCGCCAGGTGGTCTTGGCGACCTTGTAGCCCACGCCCCACGACGGCAGGAACTGCACCACGTCGAACAGGTTCTTCTTCTTCTTCCTCCCCTTCGACTCCTTCGCCACCTCCGCCGCCGCCGCCGCCGCCGCTCCCCCCTCCGCGGACGCCGCGGGGCTGGTGCTGCTCAGGGCTCTCTGCGTGGACAGGGGCCCGAGCCCGAGGGATCGCCGGAGCAGGCCCAATCCCCTCTGCGCCATAGCCATCGGGAGCCGAAGAAGATCGAACCAACGCGTTACTGAGAGAAGATTAGGAGGAGGAGGCGAGCTCCGGCGAGCGGAGGGGAGAGGCGGCGGCGGGCTAGGGTTTTTGGGTGGAGTGCACGCGGAGAGGCTGGCCGCTCAGGTGGGTTCGGGAAGATCTGGGCCGCTCACACTGATCGATCGGACGGTGGCAGCAAAACCTCTTGTACACTTCTCGCCGTTTTTATATACAAATCTTAATTGATGAATGGAGAAACCTAAACGAAACGTAAATGAGCCACGTCATCCAATAAATATTAGCCATTGGATTCATAAAAAATAAAAGAGGGTGAATGAATCTTAACCGTTGGATTAGATGGATGATAAAAAAAATCATTCAATAGGCTTTCAGAAGCTACTGGAAGAGGAAAGAGAGCCCAGAAAGAAATAAGTAGAGGAAAGATATAAGATTACATATATATTTTTACGATTTACACTTATAGCAAATTATTTTTTAAATGAGCCCTCATATTTTAGGTAAGATTCATTCTAGGGATTGATCTATTAAGAGCATATTCAAAATGTATACTCATATGATAAATTTTGTTTCTAGAAGTTAACTGTTAATATGTTTGAGAAAAATGCTACTAGGACATACATATTCATTCCAATGAGAGGTCATGATCTCCCAAATATAGATTTAATGATTTTCACACTGATTTAAAACAAACAAAATCAAGAGGGGATGATAGAGGGGTCATGCAACGATGAAAACAACTATAGGATGAGATGTAAAGTTTATAATAAATAGCAAGTTATTTATTATATCACCATAACATCACTCATCCTAACCTATATTCTTTTACGAGCAACAAAAACTCAAGAGAAATGGCTTACCACTCTCATGTACCACGTAACAGGATTTTAGAGTCGCGCGAATGCACGACATGATGTGCTAGTGTGAGTTGAAAATTCGCTCCCTCTAGTGCTTTAGGAGTTTCTAAAAATCCAAAAGAACTGCTCCAAATCAATTGAATTTGTAAACCTAAGTTTGAATTTCCTAGATGAAACCGGCCGGTTTCTTGCGGTAAATCGATTAGGTTTGATTGAGATTGGGTTGATCTATACTGCAAACTTATTACAACCATAAGGAAAATTGACCAGTTTGAATGGAAAACCAATAATTAAAAAGTGCAATGTTTACTAATGGTACAAATTGAAGGGTGAGAGCGTAAAACATGTTCTCCAAGGAATTTCGACGGTAACATCAACATATTGTCTCATAGGATTATTTTTTTTATTCTCACAGTTCCAATTTGAATTTTCTGAGTTTAGGTCAGTTTCGATCTTACATTCATAATGCGGACCATAGTAAATCAGGAAAAAAACTGTTTTTTTTTTTCAAAATTCATTGCATTTGTAAACTCATTTTAACCGATATATCTAAGAGTACAACCATTTAACGTATATCTAACCCAACCATAGATTACAATCTAAACGAGTTACTTCTCTCCTACTAAATTATTTTTAGGTTGAAACACCAAGCTAACTACTAACAATTCATATAATGGCTTTGCAAACCTCATTGATGACAATTTCGACATAGGAAATTCTGAGTAACTTTGCAAAAGGTTTTCATTTTAGTTTGGATGATTTGGAAAGCTAGAAATGACTTTTATTTCAAAAAGAAAGTCTGGGGACCCATTCAAGTCAATATTGCTGCACAAATCATGTCTTCTAATTTCGTTTGTGATCTTAATGCTCAAAATGAAGATCATGATTCTCAGATTCATCAGGTTAACAATTGTTCAGCTCTTAATTTTGCTTCAGTGATTCGTTGCTATATTGATGCTTCTTGGAAAGATGGCAGTACTGGAATTGGTCTCTTCATACATAACTCTGCTACTCATAAAGCTCTTTTTTTTTTCAAGCTTCATCTGAATTCTTCTCTTCATCTTTACCAGCAGAGCTAGCTGCAATTATCACAACCATATCTATTTATCAAAAGCTTAAAATCACTGATGTTACTCTCTTATCGGATAATCAAGAACTAGTTAACCTTTTACAGGTTCAAGACAATGATAGTCAGCCTCATCATTGGAGCTTAAATCCTTTACTTCCAAAGCTAATCTTTCATGCAGGAACGCAGGCTCTTAACATCAAATGGATTTCAAGACAAGTTAATAAAATAGCTGAGTTCCTTGCCATGAAAGCTAGAGGAAAAATTGGTCAATCACAAAATCAAATAGTTTGTCAGGACATTTCCACTTACATTCTCATTCCAACTGTCCTACTAAGGATGCTTTAGAATCCTCTCCTCTTATGGAGAATGTATAGTTGGTTGATGTAATGTGCTCCTAAAGTTAATAAAGTTAATTCTAAAAAAAAAGAAATTCTGAGTGGTTCACACTATAGATACATCTTTACACATGTTTTTCTTTCCTAATTTCAGTTCCGATTTTGCTATATCTTTGTCGGGTGATTTTCTGTATAATATTTGACCGTTTTTTTTGGTTTGATATTGCACTACAATAGCGGGATGAGGATGAGGGCCTGTGTTTGGACATGCCTCGTGGCAGTCAACGTGACTCGATCTCCGTGCGAAATTTTCGATTTTGCGCGCCGTGTGTGTAGAGTGACTTTTTTTCTATTGTATTTGACGTTTCCTAAGCCATAGGATCATGCGCTAAGATTAGTGCAGAAAATTACAATCCTATATAACTAAAATTACATTCGTAAATTCAGTTGATACGATATGTAAATGCACTGTAATTTTGGTAAAAATATTGTGTAAGTAAATATGTATTTCCTTTAAAATATAAAATTACAATCCTATATAACTAAAATTACATTTGTAAGTTCAGTTGATACGATATGTAAGTGCACTGTAATTACACTATAGTTACAGTGTAACTATAGTAAAATTACACTGTAACTTTTAGTAGATGGGTTGGTGATATTTTTTTTGCAATGTAAAGATCTAAAATAAAATATATGCAATATATATAATTAATATATGTTGATACATGTATAGACCCTTCTAATCAAGTGATCAAATGAGCCTAATCCAAGTGTCTAAAATCTGTGTGATTTGGACCAAAAATCTGTCGTGTGATGGACTTTCACCTCTGCTCTACCTTCCTCCTCTCTCTCTTGTATTAGGAGGAGAGCGGCACGACCAGTGGAAGCATGAGGTGGCAGCTCGTCGCGGCAGCGCTCCGGCAGGATTCACGCCGCAGCTCGCGCTCGTGCCGCCGCAAGAACCCTGAGCTGCTGCTGGAGCCCCGGCGCTTTTTGTCACGGCATGGAGTGCCGGAGTGATGCCACCATCGACGACCTGGGCCACGCCTCGCCCCGTCGGACGAGCTTCCGGCTGATGCTTGTCCCAATGGCCGATGTTAACTCTATATATGTGTGAACTGACATGTCTCGTTCCAAACCAAGAGCAGCAGCATGAGCTTACCAACTCTTCGCTCTCACTGCTATACGCTTGATCGTCATTTGCCACAAGTTAAAATTATCAATACAAAGCTAGCTGCAGTGTCCAGTTCTTCGATATCCACCTAAGCTCTAGCTAGTTGCAGCATAATTCAGAGCTAGCGGCCGTAGCTCGTAGTACTAGCTCGATCCATGGCTGCGGCGGCATCGCGGGCGACAGACCCGGAGTGGCAAGTGACGGTGCCGGAGCTCCGGAGGGTGCGACGGTGAGGGTGGAGCACAAGGCCGGCTTCCGGGCCACTGTGACGGCACTACTGGAGAAACCATCTTTGCTAGGTTGGCCGAAAACAATATTAGTCCCGGTTGCAATAGAAACCAGGACTAAATATTACTTTTTGTCCCGGTTGAAAAGCCAACGCTATTTTTATGATCTTTAGTCCATTTTTACTCCTGGTTCAAAAAGCGTCTAGCCCCTTACTATCGCTTCGTATATAATTCCTTGCACTTATCCTCTCCTCCTCGATCGCAAACACTTCCTCCTCCTCCCTTTCCTCCTCTCTCCACTCTCTCTTTCCTCTTTCTTATCCTCTGCTTTTCTTTTTCTTGCAGCAGCAGAGGGAGCGGCCGCCTGCGCACGGGAGCGAGCGGCGGGGGGCGGCAGCCCCCCGCGCGGGAGCGAGTAGCGGCGGCCACGGGCGTGGCGGGCGGCGGTGCGAGGCGACGGCGGCGGCGCAGTGGTGAAGGCAGGCAGCGCGAGAAGACGGGGATGAGTCCCGGTTGATTTAGTTGTTAGATTTTGCTGATTTATCTGTGAATTTGTTGATTTGTGATGTCTTTGGTTGTAAATTTGTGATGTGAATTGTGACTGTGGATGTGGATGATTTTGTGATGTTTATGTGAATGTTGATGATTTTATTGTTGAGTTTGGTTAGAAATCAATATTCAAACAACAAAAAACAATGAATATAAGAAAAATAAGGGACTAAAGATGGTTTGTCCGGATTAGTCCCTGTTATTTCAACCGGGACTAAAGATGGGGATCTTAAGTCCTGGATTTGCGGTCTCGGTTACGTACCTGGGATTAAAGGGGTTACGAATCGGGAGTACAGGTTAAAGGGGTTACGAATCGGGAGTACAGGTTTATTCTCCAGCAGTGCGGGTCTGGAAGATCGGCGCCGACGACCCCCGAAGGGTGGTGCACGGTGTCAAGGTCGGCCTCGCGCTCTCCCTCATCGCCATGTTCTACTAGACCAAGCCCCTCTAGGATGGCATTAACGCCGCCGCCATGTGATAATTCTGTGTGTTGTTGTTGTTGTCTTCGAGTATACCATTGGTAAATCTGTGACCGATCGATGACTGTCAGCGTCATGCACTTGAAGCTGCATGCAGCACTGCCGCAGAGAATTCTTTTTCCTTCTCTATTTGCTAAAATTCAACCCCTGCCTTCTTTAAAGACCGCCATTCTACGTACAGCCTATCCAAGTAATGAGCTATCTCCCTCTACACATTAACACGTCTATATATAGCTCAAACTCACTCTGCTTGCAATTGGCTACTCGATGGCTTAACGTTCGCTGAACAACTCTTGCATGCTTCCATCATAAGCAAGTACAGTACAATGCAATACTGCATGTAGCTAGGGAGATCGACGTACATGCATGTGCATATGATTTGCCCGCTGACTCACTGAATACATATCATGATCTTCCTTTTTTTTTTTGTTGGCTCCTTGTTGCTGTCCTAGTCATAGTTGGTTCGGCATGGGAAG